AATGGGAAGAGAGAACAATGGACCTATCAGTACTGAGTAAGAAAGACCTATTTAAACCTTGTATTCCCACTTTTAATCTATCTCCGATGATGCGCTCAAGTATGAGTGTGAAACGTCAGATGAATAAATCATCCTCTCCAGAGATCTCTTTACCTTCTTCCATCTCAACACCTGGGGTCGGCATTTTCGCCTATATCCATCATATATATATATATATTATGGTAAATGTATTATACCGTACTCCCGACATAGATACTTGCTAAAAGCCCAGACACGTGTTTCGCCGATATTCTGCCGCTGCGTGACACAGCTGCGAGGGGTTCGGCTCTTCAGTGGGACCCCCAGCGTTCTCTAGCGGTTTCTGCTATATGAACTCCAAGTCCTGCACTGATTAATTTCTGAAATTATTCACCTGATATATATATATATATATATATATATATATAGGCAGAATGGTATTACCGACAAAGACAAGGGAGACTGGAATGGCCATTTCTGGCTTATTAGCCGTCGTCAGCCAGCCATACCCAAGCCCGAAGTGTTCCACACCACCACCAAAACTACCACTGCCACACATTAAAGGGTCGAATTTTCGGTAAGACGACAGCGCACCTTATGATGGCATCAGCCTCGTCCGTGAAACCCTGCAACATGGCGTCAAAGGCGTCCAGCATGCCATTGGCCCGATTAATCTCGTCATTAGAAAGAACTTCGCGTTTCTGCATTTGTTCGATGCTTCCACTAGATGAGTTGATAGCTTTCTCCAGAGCGGCTACTCGTGCCCTCAAAGTCTCCTCAGAGTTTTCCCGTAGGCCGTTCAGGCGACTGTTGGCGACGTCTAGCACGTCAATCACGTTTTGCGGCCAGTAGAAGAGGGTTGAGTTGAGTTTTATATCGTCCTCTGGAAACGAGCAAAAAATCAATGTTGACGATCGGTCGTTGGGCAAATAGCAATATGAATTTGTTATGCGTTATGAAGGCGTCCATATTAATAGGGAAATGAAGCCTGAAGATAATCTCATGCCCCTTTGATGTTGCCCTTGAGAATAAATTCATGAATACTACTTATCTACTCGAGTAATGTCCTAAGATGATCTAAATTGAAATTTTTCGGATCGGGATTTTGTGAGTTAAGGCACTAACTGTCAAGAAGGAGTGAACATTTTCAAATAAGAAATTAACTTGACGAATTCTTCG